AAGACAGATAAGCCTTAAAAACTTTAATTTGTTTTTTTTTATTATTAGTCGAGTCAGTGATTTAAGTATATTTTACGTATTAATTTGCCAATTTGCTGAGAATTCATTCATATGTATATTAACTTACCAATTTGCTGATAATTCGTTAGAAAATAGAACTTTAAACCTTCTCACTAGGTCAAACTTGTGATAAGGACATTAATCTGAGTCTGAAACAAAATAGACCATAATTATTAAAAACATTCAAGACAAAATATTCATTGTTAAAGATAGGTATTTTACAATTAGTGTAATCTTTTTATGGTTCTTGTTGAGCTTACCTGTGAATAATTTGTAAATATAAATACGTATTTATATCAATATCATCCAAATGTTTCATACTTATTGCTAAAAGATATTTGAGAAATATAATAATCTGCCTGATTGCAAGAAAAGAACTCCACAATAGCTTTTATTTTGCTAACCTTCGAATCCTTCCTGAGATTGACCCATCCTGGCTTTAAAAGGCTTTCCCTTAGTACCCTGAGGCAAAACAGCCGTAACAAAGTGTGTAATCTACCTAAATGGGCAAAAATAATAGCATTTTCCAAGTTATCTACGAAATTTATTAAATTTTAGCAATTCAAAATTATTTGATCAAGAGCATTGGGTAACCGTATACATGAACATTTGATCGGTAAAATTTTTTGATTTGTTGCAAATATCATTAAGTCTCTCTTTTAACAGTAACTGGTTTTTGTAAAGGTTATTTATTGTCTGATTATAATGGTTAATGAGCTGGGTATTGAGAGAGGATTTTAGTTGTAATTGATGTGAAAATGAGTTTTGATTTTTAATTAATTTTTGAATTTGAGAGTTATATTTAATTTCATCTTCATGGTCTAGAGTGCCAAGAAGCCATTTACTGGCTGTTCCGATTTCGTCGAATAAGCTTCTTTTATTTCTAATATTATTATTATTATTTTTGTTTTCGAAAGTTACAAAATTATTTATTTTCAATCTTGTAGTATTTAGCAAATATTTTGCGTGTTCGAACAAATTTATTACAAGTCTCACATCTTCAAACTTTGTAAAATTTTATGAGAATTCTAACCTATCGTAAAAACGTTCTATATTTCTCAATTAAGTTACTAATAAGTCCGTTTCAATGAAATGATAAAATGTATGTTTTGTCTGTATTAATTTTTATTTTCCTATATCTAAGGATAATAATGGGGGATTTAATTCTAATATTTCTACATCGCTACTTTTTATTACAACCGGAAGTGGAAGGCTGAGGATTTCGATTCTGCTAAGCTCGTCTGCATTTTGATTTAAAGTTCCCGGTTTGTAATGGATTTCATAATCAAATTCGGCGAGTGCTAGGCGCCATCTTATAAATGTTGAATTTGGTTCTTTCATATTAAAAAGATATTTAAGGGGTTTATGATCAGAAATTATATTTATTTTTCTACCGAACAGGTAACAGCCGAACGTTTTTAGGGCATAAATAATTGCCAACAATTCTTTCTCAATGGTGCTGTAATTTATTTCAGCGGAATTTAAGGTTCTTGAGGCATAGGCTATGGGTAGATCACTACCAATTTTGCCTTGACTAAGTACCGCTCCGATGGCAAAGTTAGATGCGTCTGTAGTGACGTTAAAAGGTTTTGTAAAATCGGGTTATTGAAGTATGGGTGAATTTGTTAGAATAGTTTTACACATATTAAAAGCATTTAAAAATTCTTGGGTGTATTCAATTTTCGTCCCTTTCTTTAAACATTTGGAAAGTGGTTTCGTTAACATAGCGAAATGAATCGGCAGAAATATCCCACGAGCCCCAGAAATGATTTAATATCTTTAACCGTTTTTGGCAATGGGAATTCTTTTATTGTTTCTATTTTATTTGGATTAGGTTTTACACCGTCCGGGGTTACTACGTGACCGAGAAAGTCTACTTTTTTTCTTAAAAATTCACATTTATCGAGTTGGATTTTTAGTTTAGTTTCCCGTAAACGATTAAATTTTGAATTTGTTGTTCTAAGGAAAAACTGAATACAATGATATCGTCCATGTATACAAGACAAATTTTGCCTTGAAGATTCCTAAGCACGTTGTCCATTACCCTTTGAAAGGTTGCTGGAGTCCTAAGGCCGAAGGGCATGCGGGTGTATTTATAGTGGCCACTTTCTACGTTGAAAGCAGTTTTTTGTACCGACTTAGGATCCATCTCGATCTGATGAAATCCGGATGCCAAATCCAGGGTAGTAAAATATTGGCATCGTCCTAGTTTATCTAGGATGTCGGTTATATTTGGAATAAGGTATCTATCCTCCATAGTCTTTTCGTTCACTTTTCTGTAGTCGACCACTATTCTGACTTTCAGTCGACCACTATTCTGACTTTCCTACGTCCGCTAGCATCTGGACGCTTTTAGACGACCCATATTAGACTACTCCATGGACTTTGACTGGGCCTTATAATCCCATCTTCAAGCATCTTGGAAATTTGTCTTTGTACCTCGTTCTTATATACGAATGGATAACGATATGACGACATATACCGAACTTTTGTCTGTGGTCTTTATTTCGTGTTTTACTTGATTAATAAAACTCAATTTTTGGTCCTCCCTGTAGAATAATTCGTTAAATTCGTTACATACACTAATTAAAATAGTTTTTTCTTCAGAATTTAAATGACTTGTGCGTATTAAGTTTCATCTAATTGTTTATTACTAAAATTTTGTAAAATATTTTCTATATGAAAAAATTATTTTTGTGTCCCTCTGTAAGTGGAAAAACTTTAATTTCTGTTTTTGGAAAGCCGTTACAAGATAAATTCAATGTTTCTCGGAAATTAAGATCTCCGTATTTCATTTCAGGTACAATTACCTCGCCATTAGAATAATCTACTGGCACCTGCATAGCAACGATTTCGTATGCATCCACAGAAATTGTATAATGTTCCCTATTTATTTTATATAAAATTGGTATTTTTGTATTTTAATTTTTTAATTCATTTTTTACTAAATCTACTGTAAACTTTAGGTTACATAATTCGTTTAATCCTAGTAGCCCATCAAAATGATTATGGAATTTAAATACTTTAAAGTTTAAGTTAATATTGGAATTAAATTCTTTAAAGGCAGGAATTTTAGCTTTATATTCGGTTTGCTTTTTATCAATAGGTGTAATTATTAAGGTTGGATCTTTGTAAATATTTTCTGGGAAATAGTTCTCAACGATATTTGGACTTAACATACTAGAAATACGACCGGTATCTATAAGGAGTTTTAAGGGTGGATTTTGTATAACTATATATGGCAAATCCGCAGAATATGAATTGGAAAATATTTCGTATGTTCCTTGTTTTACTCTGGCTGTTTTCCGAAATTTTTCGGCACGCTGATAGTCGAAATTACTAGGGTCAGAATTTATAGGAATTTGATTATTTTCTGAGTTTAAATTCATTTGATGATTCGATAGGAGTTTCCTCAAATGGATTTTCAAAATCTATGTTATCTGTTTGAAATAGTTGTTGGGTTGTAAAATTTTGTTGATAGTTTTGTCTGGGTCTAAAAGTGTTTTGGGTGGTTGTCGACATGGGTTGTTGATAATTTTGGAAATTTTGTCTAGGTCTGAAGGTATTTCGAGTAGTAGTCGACATTGGAACTGGACTGTTGGTGGGTATTTGGCCCGTTGGGGCGAATGCATTTTTCGGTGGCCCGAATACCTGTCTATTTGTTGGATAATATCTATTGATCGTACGCGATTGTACAGGAATTGGTTGGCTGGGAAATTAGTTGTTTCGATAAGTTACGAGAAGTTGTATGGGGGCAAAATTTCTTTGATAAGCATTGTCGGACTGGTTTCTAGTATTTTGAAATAATTGAGGGAAGCTTCTACACTGGTTATTACTAAAATGTTGGCGATTGTTATTAGAATTTTGGCGATTATTATTAAAATTTTGATGATCATTAAATCGATTGGAATTTGATCTGTATTGAGGGGTTTCAATCTGTATTAAATTATTCTGTGAATATGCGAAATTTTCTTCTTCAATGATATAAGTTATTGGTTGTTCTATATTGATTGGATTTTTAAGTCTAATGATAGTTTGTAAGGTACCAGAGATATTTCTTAACAAGGTTCTCAACGCCATTTGCTTTCTATATGACTCTTTAGTTTGTAAAGGAATTTCAGCATCTGTAAAGGAATTTCAGCATCTGTAAAGGCATTTCAGCATCTGTAAAGTTATTAATACTACCGATTAAGTGGCTTCTCAAAATCTGTAACCTTCGGGCGAAATCTATTGGTTGTTTGTTTCTTTGTGGATGTGCTGTTAACAAATCCTGTTCGAGACATTCTAAAGATCGTCTTTCTCCAAAGCATTGTTGTAATGAATTTCTAATAGAATTCCAAGGATTTTGATTCATTTCGCGAACCAACCAATAAATTTGCTCTATCTACAAATCTCGATTTTATTGCCTGGACAATATTACTTTGAATTGCCGGATCATTTACATTTGCATATGTGTTTACTACGAAGTCACAACTATTAAAAAATGTTGCTAAATTGTTTTCATCCCCATCAAACATGGGAATGGTATCGACATGTAATTTTAACATTTTATTTAACTTTGTTGACCTCTAGCGGTCAAACGAAGCAAGTTGGTATATATATGTAAATTTGATTAAATCAAATTATTTTGAGCCATATACATGCAATTTCAAAATATACTTTTTTATAAGGGCGTGTTGTACAAAAAATACTCTAAACTTAGTTTAGCTAAAAGGAGTTTAATTTTTATCTGGTTATATTTAAAATACAAATGTCCTTTCCGATAATTAAACTAATTACAGTTTAAACTAAGATTACATATTAACTGCCTATTATACAATTCGCCCTATGAAGATTTTTTAAAGTATTCTGAAACTAAGACTGTATTACCAGAATTATACCTCTGTAATACCGTTACATGTTGTTATGTTATTAATGAGCAAAAAACACTTATTTTTTAGACGTAGGAGATAATTGGTGGACTTCTGGATCCAGACTTCTAGATTCTAAGAATTGGGTGTGGTTTACCAGAGCAAAATCGTTTAGCTATACAAATTGGAGGAGAGGAGAACCATTGTCATGGTGTATGCGTCTAGCTCATCATCAAGTCAGAGGTTTGGAGTGGATTAGCGATAACTGCTATACGAAGTACAATGTTATTTGCGTAAGTGGAACGGGAGATGATACTGATGAAAGTGGAGGAGGTATTAAAATATAAACGTTTTAATTTCATTATACATAATATATGTATTAAATTGATCCTTTTAGCGTTAACAGAAGGAGGAAGAAACCTTTTAAATCAAGGAAATAATCAAAGTTTACTAATTCCAATTGATGTACGACATGGAGGGGATAACGACATTTCAAGGTACAATTCTACTGGGATCCCAACACCTCAAACGACAGCAAGAAATTTGCCAGATGGAGATTATTTTGGTATAACTTTAATTATTTATTTTATAACTAGGTACCGATCTTTATTGTAAATTCAAAATTTCTAGATTTTGAATGGTATAAAATCCTTATACGAAACAATCCTGGTTATATATCTATAAGAAGTTATGGAGGTAAACGCTACCATGTTGAAACATCATTGATGGTAAGTATTATTAAGATAATTTCCATTGGAAAAGTAATAAATGTTGCTGGAGTACCCTTTTTATTATAATTTTTAATTTATAGCTAAGTCATTAAAGTTTCCTTCAGTTCGAAAAAATATTATTTTCTACAACCACTTAGTCTTACAGAAAGTTCCCTATATCACGCGCGTTTAGATAAAAATTCACTTTCCACCCGTGTGTAAATTTCTACTTTTCTCAGATAAACAAATGAAATATAGATAATTGGGCGCCGTTTAATATTCGCTCCGTGCGAAGTCATGGAAAGGGAAGCAAAAGCGATACTAGCGCTAGCTGCGGATAATTCGTGCATTTTAGGGCGATATTTTGTAATTTTGGCATATCAAATACACGTATACATTTTACTTTTTTTCAAAAAACTAAGTAAAAATAATACAATAAGCAACCGGAGTTGCTGTGTTGAAAATTGTACAAATACTAGAAAAAAAAAACAGTGAAACTTATATAAAAAATTTCAGTAACAAAGTAGAAATTAAATCAAAGAAATAAATGGATAGGTGTACAATAAGAAGAAAAATTACCTTTATTTTTGTAATAATAACAGTTATGCTGGAAATAGTAGACATCAGAAACTTAAAAGGTTTTAAACAAACAATAAATTATCATTTTACGATGTTCTTTATTATCCCTTTATTTTTAAATGTTCATTCAGCAAGGACTAGATTTCACGATTTCTGCCTTTGATTAATATAATGTGGCTGAAATGCAATTTTGTGCTTACTGATGGGAAACCAGTTTTAATCATTCATTCTATGTTTTCGTTTGAACAAAAATGAAAATATAAATAACGATCTTTTTTTATACATTTTAACTTCACGCTAACAGTATTAAATGTTTTTTTTTTTTAATTTTGACCTCTGAGATTTTGACAGAATAGTCTAACTCTTTAATGACAACTTATTAAACTTAGGCAACTTCTCAAACATTTTCCAGTAAATACTGTTGCCTGCCTATATTTTATTATTGATTTTTATTGATTATACATAATTTTCTTTAATTTAAGCGATAAAAATATATAATAATAATAAATTATTGTTTTACTTGTTTTAAAATCCATATACTTTTATTAAAACTAACATATATACTTCTTAATTACGAATTCTAATAAAAACTGCATTTGTCAGTATACGCAGAAATAGTCCATTAGTACCAAAACGAATTGGCGCTGCTGTCGCGCACGGAGCGAATAGGATTTGTTTGAAGCCAGTATCTACAAACTTTTAACAGTTGTGACCACCATGGGCGTATCAAATAGATTCTCTATCAGAATTCAAAGGATTCTTCTGTAAATACTCGATTTTTATCATCATTCGAACTAATTCGATTATACCAATATCATTCGAATTATATGGAATGTACGAAATTGTAATAAATGAACGAGCTATTTTCAAACTCGAGAGAAAGTGAATTCTCTCAAGATTTTCAACGTAAAAACTATATTTTAAACGCCAGTGAGAATTAAAATGCTTAGGAGAGTTTGAATTATCTCGAAATAAATCAAGAAAAACAGTCAGTGAGTTCTCACTGGCTTTAAAAATACTGTTTTCACGTTGACATAATATGACAATTTTCATAAAATCTTGAGAGAAATGAGTTCCTTCAAGTCCCCTCCAAATCCCCTGGGGACTTATTTTTAATTTCGAGAGAAATGAATTATCTCAAGATTTTCACGAGAAATGTCATACGTCAACTTGATAACAGTATTTTTAAAGCCAGTGAGAACTAGATGACTGTTTCTTCGGTTTTTCTGGAGAATTAAAATTTTCCTAAAAATTCCTAAGAACTTTAATTCTCACTGGCTTTCAAAATACTGTCTTCACGCTGAAATATGACATTTCTCATGAAAAGCTTGAGATAAGTCATTTCTTTCGAGTTTGAAAATAGGTTCCTAGGTGACTTGTTGAAATATGGAACAGCAGAGTAGGCCATCAAAATTACCTATTTATTTATTATTTTTGTTGTATTAAAAAAATGACCTAACGAAAAACATTATTGTATTTTAATTTTTTTTTATTCCTAAGGTTATTTTACCGTTATCATGAAAGTGTCAATTTAGACGAAACACTTTAAAAATTATTCAATAAGGCATATAAAAAAGCATATCTAAAACCAGCAATTTTTTGATTGGAATATTGTGTGCAAGTGATTTTTTACATTCGTAATGTAACGTACTATTTTTTTACAGGGAACCCAACGCCAAGCAGCCATGTATTGCAGATACCATAATATGCATCTGATTGAGATTATTAACCAAACAGAAAATGCAATTATAGAAAAAATTTTGCTTGATACCGGTATGTATGTTACACTATTTCTACAGGATATCTCTTCTTTATTCATTTACTTTCTTATTAACACAAGCCATTATTCCTAATTACACGATCAAAAACACAAAAATATAAAAATATAAAGTATTTACACCAAAAGTAATAGGTAAATCTATCAAAACTACAGAGATATATTTGTTTTAACAGATAAGGTTAATGTGTAATTTAGTAATACAGTTGCGAAAAATATTTTGCAAAATCTTTGAGTCCAATTCTGTAAAATAATTCAAATTGTTGGCCAAACTAAACATGGTCACTAGAGTAATTCTGTTCATTATATTTATTGTCATCGTCTTAGTTCTGTTAGAGCCGATTCCACCGTTGTGTTAAACGGAGATTAAAGTGACATTGTTAATGTAAAAATGTCATTTTAAACTTCGTTTAACACAACGGTGGAATCGGTCCTTAGAGAAACAATATCAGGGGTATTGATTTTATTATTAATTATTTTATACAAAAATATAGCTAAATTCAATAAGCGTCTGTTGTCTAAAAATAAAATTTTAAGTTCGGCTCGGAGTTGACCAAACCTAATCAAGTTATAAGTAACTCTAATATAATACTTTTTGTAATAAAGATATCTAAGAAGTTTATTTTTGATTTTTTCAGTTCAGTTTTTCAGTTTAAAATCCTTTTATTACTATATACATTATCTACATTTCAAGGTAATGAAAATACATTTAATTTTTTCCGCGGATCTTCGTCCTCGCAGAAAGATTCCTACTGCACGCAGTGTGACTTGCCGGTCTTCTGGTCGATTATTTCCATTCCTTGATTCATATTTAGGCTATGCTGTTCTACTCCTTGCGTTTGACATTATCAGAACAGTATGGTGAGTTAGGGAGCGTCGATATTTGTAAATGTTAAGATTTTTGTTGAGTTTAATTGTGTGGCAATCTCTGAAAAATCGTCTTAAAAAAAACAAGGTAGGATTTTTTCCATTTTAATCAAATAAGTTTGATACTCACTTGACCAAATCAGAGAGAAAAATTTCAATTATTTCTGACTAAACTGAAATTGGTATTGGAAAAAGTTGGAGCTTTTCTTATTATAAATCCCAGTAAGCGATTTAACACGTTAAACACATTTTTTACACGAAAAGCAAATGATAAGTTACATCCAAATCTTTGATATCTGCATTTTTCTTTAATATTTCAGTATTCATCATATAACTAGTAACAACTGGTTCCTTTAGACGCGTATGTCATTGCAGAACATTTGGTAATATTAAAATAAAGTTAATTTCGTTGACTCCACTCATACAAATTATGAATATCCTTTTGTATCATTACACAATTCTTCACAGTTAAAGTATTTTAAAACCATAGGACGGTCATGTATTAAGAGTACAAACAGTAAGGGACCAATATTAGATTATTGTGAAACATTTGATTTAGCTGAATACCTACTTACCCGACATATTTTTCTCTTATGCTTTACAATAAATGTTCAATTTTTCAAATAATTATCAGATTTAACAACTTAGATAATCCAAAAGTATTTAATTTTTAAAGCAATATATTATGATTAATCTTATCAAAAGCTTTTTGAAAATCTTAGAAGTAGTATACATCTGTTTTTTGCTTCTGTGCTTTGTATACTCTATTGGTAAATATAAACAAATTGGTATTCATCAAACCAGGCAAACAGAGGCTGAAATTTTAATACTATTTGAATAAGGAAATAATGATCTGGTAGAGTTACCGTGACGCCTATATTTACATTTTTGATAATGTCAAAAAATTGTTAACATTATCGTATTTTTACAAGGCTATAACTTTCAGGAAACATTCCTTGAATTATTTTATGAAAATAATTACTGCCAGATGATTCTAGCGATTGCTAGTGCCCGTCAGACGTGTAAACAGGGTGGCCACTTAAAATTTTCACCCATTTAAGCGTCGTTATTATAGACCGTCACATAGTGATAGGTTTAGGTGCCCCATTTTCGCATGCAAGCCTTCGATTTTAAGTAGATTGAAAGGAAATTTACGAGTAGCTCCTGGGGATTACACATGGAAAATTCGATTTTCCCTGAAAAAAATTAGAGGTTATTTTTTGCCCATATTTCCACGCCCTGTTCACTATATGATTAATTAATAGAACTAGGCTTCGAAAAACCAAAGGCTTTAATGTTACAAGTGGCTTAAGGGTTGAAATAAGGGCGTAATCTTCTAAGGAAAAATCGAGAGTTTACCCGATTTTTCAACACAATAAGCCCATTGAATGCATGAAAATACATTGTCTTTAGTCATAAAAACATATTGGTTTAAATGATCCGAATGTACAAGTGCATTTTGGGGTAGAAAATTTTTTCTAATAAAGAAAATCGAATTTTTTATGTGTTATCCCCAAGAGCCACTCGTAAATTTTCTTTTTATTCTACTCAACATCGATGTACTTTTCAACCCTCTTTGAGGCTTGTATGCGAAAATGGAGCATCTAAATCGGTCACTATCTGACGGTCTATTAATTGAGATATCAGAATACTTTTTTTTAAGTAAGAATTTTTTTATAACTGATTCAATTTCTCTGTGACGTCATGGCGTACTCCCGCCTCTATGTTCTCATTGGGACATTCCTTATTCAATGAGAGCAATAATTATTATCCTTTACACTTCTGTTAGTCCAACATAAGGTATTTTGTTGACACAAAATTCACAAGATAATAAATCGCAGCAGTCGTTTCTTCTTTATTATTATGTTTGTTTTGAACAAAAAGCCTTATCTTAAAGTTGGATACCAAATTTTTTCCTTACAAAAAGTTTATTAATAAATAATCACAAAATTTTTATAATACTTTTATTTTTAAAATACAAATGTTTTAATACACCGCAACAAAATTTATGTATAGTACAAGTCAAAAATATCTATTTGGTTTTTAACATCTAAAAAAAATTTTCTTAGAAATTAAGACGTACTTGGTGAGATGTATGAAACTGCTTATATTTTGAAAATATATCTTCATATTATTAGAAATCACAAAAAAAATACTATCAGTTATTCTGAGTCTTAATTTTTTCTTATTAAGTGGAAAACTGAAAATGTTTCTTTTACATATAAGTACTTCCGCTTCCGAATAACGATACCATTTGATATGCGTGTTTCAATAATTCGGGATATTGTCAACCAAGTTTCGCAATTGAAAAATAATATAAAATTTATTAGTCATAATATTTTTATATTTTGGTGGTGGTAGGGTAGGCATCACCCTTCTCGATTGCCTTAATGCCATTTATTTGCCTCTGGATTCGCTACCACCCCCATAGAAAGTTTCAGCGTCCAGTGAGAGGCGGTATCGCCCCCGTTGAAAATTTTGAATTATAAAAAAAATTCAATATCTCAACTAATAACTAATATAAGAGGGTGACATTTTTAAGAGATTTATCAATAAGAAGAATGCTTAGATACGTCACTGGTGCAAGTTGGGTTAGTATAAATGGGAACAGTAAGGCTTACAAAGAGTTTTTCAAAATAATTTATTCCCATGTATTCTTCCTTCAATAAGTTATTAGTAAGATATTTAGAAATATTATCCAATATGGCTACTATATTGGCAGCTGACAGAACATTTTTAATAAAATATTCTTATCCAAAAATGTTTAATAAATTCGGGTTTTCAATAAAAAAAATAGTTTTTTTTTTTCAAGATCAAACTGGTATTAAATTATAAATTTACAAATTTTAATTCTTGTGCAGACTAAGGCTGTGTTACAATATTACTATATTTTATTTTTCAGCATAATAATGTACTAGTTTCTAGACTATAGATAATCTTATTATATAATAGAAATTGGTCTGAAATTATCTACGTATATTTATTTTATCTCGAGTTCTATATATTATGTACATAAAGTTTTCCTTTAAGTAGGATAAACAGACGAAAAAAATAGTTTAAATATATAAAGTAAAGGTTTTCGAAGCCATTCGTACCAACCCTTTAATAACTTTTCTTCCTTGTGATCGACTTCAATGGCTGTTTTAGGTTCTATTGGTCCATTTTGGACAGCAGGCCAAAGGAAAACGGGTAACTTGATGTGGTCCATCTCTCAACAACCGATTACCTACACGAATTGGAACCCTAATATCAACCTAGGAGGATCGATGATTCGAGACTGCATCCAAGTCGATCAAGGAGCTAAATGGAGTTGGGAGAATTGCGATGAAAAATTGTTCTTCGTTTGTAAAGCCCAAATTCAAAATCTAGTCACCAATGCGACGAATTCTAATGAAGAGTATAGCCAAACCATTATCGTTAGGTAAAAAAAGTTAAAGACATGAGTTTCGTGTACTTGATATGTTTCTACCAACTACGGTGCGTATCGTATTCAAGTTGACATTAAAATCGATGATAATGAGATAATAAATTAAAATTTGGATTTTTTATGTGTTTTATTTTTTATTACCTGAACCTCCAGCTCAACAATTATAGAGCCATCGAGAAAAAATAATATTTTGTTGGATTAGGAAGAATAATTGGTTTGTGGTTAAACATTTGTTTGTTTGTTTGTTTGTTTGTTTGTTTGTTTGTTTGTTTGTTTGTTTGTTTGTTTGTTTGTTTGTTTGTTTGTTTGTTTGTTTGTTTGTTTGTTTGTTTGTTTGTTTGTTTGTTTGTTTGTTTGTTTGTTTGTTTGTTTGTTTGTTTGTTTGTTTGTTTGTTTGTTTGTTTGTTTGTTTGTTTGTTTGTTTGTTTGTTTGTTTGTTTGTTTGTTTGTTTGTTTGTTTGTTTGTTTGTTTGTTTGTTTGTTTGTTTGTTTGTTTGTTTGTTTGTTTGTTTGTTTGTTTGTTTGTTTGTTTGTTTGTTTGTTTGTTTGTTTGTTTGTTTGTTTGTTTGTTTGTTTGTTTGTTTGTTTGTTTGTTTGTTTGTTTGTTTGTTTGTTTGTTTGTTTGTTTGTTTGTTTGTTTGTTTGTTTGTTTGTTTGTTTGTTTGTTTGTTTGTTTGTTTGTTTGTTTGTTTGTTTGTTTGTTTGTTTGTTTGTTTGTTTGTTTGTTTGTTTGTTTGTTTGTTTGTTTGTTTGTTTGTTTGTTTGTTTGTTTGTTTGTTTGTTTGTTTGTTTGTTTGTTTGTTTGTTTGTTTGTTTGTTTGTTTGTTTGTTTGTTTGTTTGTTTGTTTGTTTGTTTGTTTGTTTGTTTGTTTGTTTGTTTGTTTGTTTGTTTGTTTGTTTGTTTGTTTGTTTGTTTGTTTGTTTGTTTGTTTGTTTGTTTGTTTGTTTGTTTGTTTGTTTGTTTGTTTGTTTGTTTGTTTGTTTGTTTGTTTGTTTGTTTGTTTGTTTGTTTGTTTGTTTGTTTGTTTGTTTGTTTGTTTGTTTGTTTGTTTGTTTGTTTGTTTGTTTGTTTGTTTGTTTGTTTGTTTGTTTGTTTGTTTGTTTGTTTGTTTGTTTGTTTGTTTGTTTGTTTGTTTGTTTGTTTGTTTGTTTGTTTGTTTGTTTGTTTGTTTGTTTGTTTGTTTGTTTGTTTGTTTGTTTGTTTGTTTGTTTGTTTGTTTGTTTGTTTGTTTGTTTGTTTGTTTGTTTGTTTGTTTGTTTGTTTGTTTGTTTGTTTGTTTGTTTGTTTGTTTGTTTGTTTGTTTGTTTGTTTGTTTGTTTGTTTGTTTGTTTGTTTGTTTGTTTGTTTGTTTGTTTGTTTGTTTGTTTGTTTGTTTGTTTGTTTGTTTGTTTGTTTGTTTGTTTGTTTGTTTGTTTGTTTGTTTGTTTGTTTGTTTGTTTGTTTGTTTGTTTGTTTGTTTGTTTGTTTGTTTGTTTGTTTGTTTGTTTGTTTGTTTGTTTGTTTGTTTGTTTGTTTGTTTGTTTGTTTGTTTGTTTGTTTGTTTGTTTGTTTGTTTGTTTGTTTGTTTGTTTGTTTGTTTGTTTGTTTGTTTGTTTGTTTGTTTGTTATCAGTAACTTTGGCAACCTAAGACATTTTGTTGACGGCCTATTTTTATTTTGCTTTCTTGTGGTTTTTCGAGATTTTCGAGAATAATTTGAACATTAAACTGTTTAATAAGGACTTTTAGGATGGTGAGGAAATGTGTAGTGTGCCAAATTATTTGTTATAAGAATAATATGCAGTCATTTCATATTTGAGGTTTTATTGGCACAGACGGAGGCATATATAAGGAATAAGGCTTAATTTATTTAACATAGTAAAGGCATGAATAAAATTGTCGATAATACCTGTCCTAAAAGAGTTGTCATTCCGTTATGAAAACAACTCTGAAAGTAGGTGTAACGTGAAATTCAAAGGGTATGATAGATCCTTTTTGTATGTATATTTGTCTGAAATAAAGTTGCTTTATTGTTTTTAATAAGTTTTTTTCGTAAAGAAAGGTAGTCGTGACAATGTAAAAAATAGAATGAAGATATATAATGCTAGACATTCTATATTATTTTGTTTAACCCCCCTTTATAATCAGATTTTTTCATCCCCTTATAAAGCTTGATTTTTCCTAACGATTTCAATTTAATATCGTTTTTTGTTTCTGAGTTACGATTTTTCTCAATACTTCAACCTCCCTTATCTTCCCATTTCTATTTATTTATTAATTTCCGCATAGAGCTTAATTTTATGTTGATATAGCTTTTGGTTTTTGATTATTTTTTTTTCTTCTTATTTCAACCCTTCATTTTATTGTGATTTTTGGAATCAGTAGCCTTTATCTCCTTATAGAACTTGATTTGTACTTAAAATTTTATATTTATATCGCTATTTGTTTTTAATTTATGATATTTTTTTTGTAATTTCACTCCCCTTCCCCCTTAAACCTCCCATTTTTAATCAGATCTTTATCAGATTTTTTTTCAAAATCAAACGACTTCTTTCCTTTATAGGGCTTGATTTTTGCTAAAAAATTGAAGTGAATATCATTTTTTGTTTTTGACTTATCATGCGGCAAAAATAATAATTTTAAATAGTTTTATATTTTTATTTGCTATTAATGTATTTTTTAACAATTAAAGAAACACAACTACTAGACTAATTTTGTTTACAAAAATCGAATTTCGAACATTCACGGTGTTATCCACATAGTTGTCAAATTATTCAAAGTATGTGTGAGTTATGTTACAAGGATTGTTTATGGTTATAATTCGGTATTGACTTATAGACCGTCAGATAGTGACTGATTTAGGTGCCCCATTTTCGCATACAAGTCTCGAAGAGGGTTGAAAAGTACATCGATTTTGAGTAGAATGAAAGGAAATTTACGAATGGCCCCTGGGGATAACATGGAAAATTCGATTTTCCTTAACAGAAATAAAAGATGTTTTTTGCTCATTTTTCCACGCAAGCCGTTTTCACTATATGGTTAATTAATAGAACTAGGCTTCTAAAAACCAAAGGCTTTAATGTTGCAAGTGGCTAAAGGGTTGAAATAAGGGCGTAATCTTGTAAAGAAAAATGGATATTTTAACTGATTTTTCCATACAAGCCCGACGAAAGTATAAATACATACATCGTCACTAGCCCGAAAAACATATTGGCTTGAATGGCGCGAATGGATAAGTGCATTTTGGAGTCGGAAAAATTATCGCAATTTTTTTTTTGAATTTTGAGTTATTTTTTCATGCAAGCCTTTTTAACCATAAAATGTTATTAATGTGTTTGACGTAATAATAAAATTGGCATGAGTATCGGATGTGGACGAAACAAAGGCTTGCGTCGAAAAGTTGCAGGAAAATTGTATCGAAAATGCCACCATTTTTCCACGCTAGCCGTTTGACATATGCTTAGAAAAAGTGATTCTACGACTATCTATAAAAAGGCTTGTTGGACATGGTCTTCATATTATTTATACATAATTTATTTAACAAAATGGTACCAAGAAAATCTATAAATATCCACCATTTTCTCACACAATCCATTTGGCATAGTGACTTTAAGACCCTATAATGAAAGGTATATACCTAAGTATCGAAAATGGAACATACAATTAATAATTTTACAACCTAAATTAAAAACAAGGTGATTTTACAATATACATAACATACTTCGCCGCTTGTTTCATCTTCGTCTGATTCTAAGATGTCGATGTTTATGCTCCTCCATCTTCTTCTCCATCATCTGTATCGTCTTCATCTTCGTTGATATTATCTTATTCGACAGCGTCGTCTACATTATTTACATCATTGTCCTCTGAAGCTGCAAAATTAAAATAAAAATAATATAAAATTATTTGCATAATAATAATAATAATAATAATAAAACGAATTTAATGACAATTTCACAAATTCTTTTTATTATTTTTTTTATTATTATTTTGTTAGATTAAGCATTTAATTACAAATAATTATCTGTTATTAATTTATTGTGTTTCAAAATAACATAAAATTTATGTATCTGATCTTGAAATGACTTTTTTTCAAAAAAAATTGTTGTCAGATATTTCAAATATCATGTTTCCGAGTAGGAAATTGCAAGATCTATCAAAATCAAGAAAAAAAAATTGGGGTTGCTATTTAAAAAAATTGTCAATGACGTCACTGCCCAAAAATGGGAAGTGGGGGAAAATTTAATTTTATTTAAAAAATTGCGCTTTAAGTAAACAAAATTGACCTGTCCGAGCATTTTTTCGAAAAACCAGCTACTTCCATTATAATGAATTTATTCCATACATTAGCGACATACTGTATAATTGATGCAGACAAAAAAATGATATTTTACCTTCATTTTGTTTCGCATCTATTAGAGTGTCACCAACGTATTCTGGCAGCTCATTACCTTCGAACCACAGAAAGGTATAAAAACCATCTTCCACTTTCCAACCATACTGTAATGCAGTGGTCGCCAACCTGTCGATCGCGAGCTACCGGTAGCTCGCGGAGGCAATTCTGGTAGCTCTCACAACGATTTTAATTTAAAAAATTCAAACTGCAAAAATCAGAGAAGCTTCCGAAAATTCCACAAAAAAATCTAATTGTCATAATATTAAACATAAACAGCGGCAACGTTGCGGTGAGCGATCTGCCGCTGACGCCTTCAAGCTAGAATCGGCTAGAACCGACTAGCCGGACCAGCGCGTTAGTGTTGGAGAACGATCAGGATTGCTTTGAACGGGATAAATACGCACGGCGCGGCGACATTGCGCTTAGTTTAAAACTGAACGCGTAACCAACGTCCAGCGGTTAGGTTAGTAGAGAACAACAAAAAATAATATTATGGCAAGCAGTTGTAAGAAGGTAAAGGCATACCACTTTCATTCGGAATGGGAAGAACAATACTTTTTTACAGAAGTTAAAGATAAATGTGTGTTTGTTATGTAATACTTCGGTCTCCGTTGCTAAAAAAGGAAATATTGAGAGACATCATAAAACTGTACATTCTAATTTTGAAAAATCATTCCCACTGCATTCTGCCGCCAGAAAGGAGAAACTGAAACAGTTAAA